GGGTCTGGGGAAGCTAAGATGTTTATAGACCTTACCTCTGAAGCTCTACCCCTACGAGTAGACAGGTTGTTACATTGAAGTCTCTTGGCTAAGTAAACAATGGGAAGCTTTAGAACAGTGCCACTGAAAAGTTATAAGGAGGTTGTAGTTAAAAATCTGAAGTTGAAAAAAACATCCACAATTAAAAGATAGTGTCATCAGTGGCTACCACTCAGAACTAGGGTAGTAGGGTCTGGGGAGGCTGAATGGACACGGAAATTACATGAGCTACACCTATGCCTTTACCCCTTGCCCCTTGGAGTAGAGAGGCTGTTTCAGTGAAGTCACCCAGCTAAGGAAATGATGATATGATTTGGAAAAAATGGCTTTTAAATTTTTCGAAGGTTCTGATAAAAATTACTACTAGTATGGACTATGGAACGAAAGTGTTCAGGGAAAAAGACAAGAAAAAAAGAGGCATAATTAAAAGCATAATGTATGAAAGCACCGCAGCCCGCAGGGACAAAACAAAGTAGGTTAGAACTGAAATAAGTGTAATGTATCTTGATAATAATAATTATAAAATATGTTATTTTTGGTCTTGATTCATGAACAAGTCTATTCACTAATCACTTATGTTAATTGCTGCTCTCTTTCAGAGGCTAGCCTACTTTTGTCGTTGCAGTTTGGTGCTGAAGATGGTTGGCTTTCTTCATTTTACTCTTGCATGGTAAAGAAGGTAATTCAGATTAGTTATCACTTGTGCGATCCCGTTATTTGTCTATTTGAGCTCTGCTGGTCCATTAATTTCTTCTTTGTTCGATCTGCATTTTATATACGTAGTATTATTTTGCTCAGTGTGAACATACTGTTATTACTACCATTATGTTTTGCAGTATGATAACGAAAACATGGTGGAAGCCAAATTTAGGGAACTAGAACAGGATGGTCCTGGTACGAAAGCTTCAGACAAATCCTTATCGTGCACCTTCAAGACAAATACTGATCTTTTGTCCTGCAAAGCTGAGTACTATCATCAATGCGGTGAATACCAGAAATGTTTTGAACTAACATCCACGTAAGTTTGAGCCTGGTCTAGAGGAAAATACTATGATCATTTTGCTTGGTTATCAATCTAGTGTTGCCTAGATGACCACTTGTCCCATGCCCCCATTATCACAATGTAATTCAGATTACTCGAGAAGGATCCATTTCATCTTAAGTCTACCCTAGTGCATTTGGCAGCAGCAATGGAACTGGGGCACTCAAATGAGCTGTATCTCATGGCATGTAACTTAGTCAAGGACTACCCTCAGCAGTGAGTAGCTTTACAATTGAACTTTGAGTTTTGGTTTGAGTTTTAGTTAACGTAACATTGGTTCTTTTCTTTCTGTATTTTCGTACATAACTACATATATTTTTTCCGTATTATGAATCTGTTCTACAACATATCACCATGGTCTGAGACTGTGAGGTCCCCAACATCTTGAACATGGCCTAAGGGCTTAATACAGCACTTCAGCGTAATGTCAGCTCGACATTACCAGCTCGGATTACAGGCTTGTAAAGGCAACTCAGAGTCTCAGACTATGTGCTTGGCTGTCACAGTGACTGGTTATAATTGATTCCAGGACTGTTACGCCCAAGTGGCCTAACAGCTCCACAATCTCCGTTATTGCAGACGTGCTGCATTAACTGCATAGGCTGCATATATGTAAGCCTTAACCGGCACACATGTATTGTCCCATGCTCACATATTACTGAATACTTAAGTACTTAACCAATACAAGCAATCTTACTACCATCCTTGCTTGCTTTCATACGCTAAAGACAAGACTCTTTTTTATGTGGCCCTTATTTATAGCGACACTATATATGGAATTCCATTATATCAATCAATCAATGCATAAATATCATGTATTAAGAGAAGATAAAAGTTCAGTAGATTTTTATTAAACAGGCCAAACACATCTTTTCTGCAATGTTTTCCATTATTGTGGAACTGGTGCTATTTGTTCTGAGTTATCTTTTTGGGGATCGTTTTGAAATCTTGTCAACTTTACTGATGTGCCCTTTAATCCAGGGCATTATCATGGTTTGCCGTTGGTTGCTACTACTATTGTATAAAAAAGTATGATCAAGCACGTCGTTATTTCAGGTATCCATTTTATCTGCCCAGTTGTTTGCCTGACAATTAATGTCATGTTGGACCTGTTCTGCCACAGGATATAAAGCAACGTGGATGTCCAAAGAAATCTCATTCCTAACCCATGTTTCATTTTAATGCTTCATTAGGCATGTGGAGGTCATATTTCAAGTTAAACCCTATTAAGAACAAGAATGGGATTGGATGCAGTTTAGGAAAAGTTCATAATGATATATTTTTAAAATTTTCTGGTATGGTATTTAAAATTTGCAGCAAGGCCACGAGTTTGGATGGAACATTTGCTCCAGCTTGGATAGGTTATGGGAATGCTTATGCAGCTCGAGAAGAGGGAGACCAAGCAATGTCAGCCTACCGTACTGCTGCTCGCTTATTTCCAGGGTAATTTCACTAATCAGTTGGCATATGAGGCACACTAGATGGATCAAGATGGGGAATGTAAATTCAAGGATAGTAAGAAATAGTTGTTAAACTAGTTGGAAACGGGAATAATTAATTTCATTTTGCAACTCACTCTTACTTACCCTTTTGTGAAGTTAATTAATACTTGCTCTTACAGTCCTATCTTGCAATTTTAGAATGAAGATTTAAACAGGAATAAGCATGGGAATAGGAAGTTTAATGAACCGCATACCTAACAAGAAGAATGAACTATCTTTGTGGGACCAGGATGGAACGAAACGGGATACACATCATAGCCTATCTTTTTGGGACTAAGGAAGTATACTAATCTTGATTTGGATGAGAGTAAAATTCATCTCCATAAGGGGAAATAGTCAAAAATACCAGTATCCTGGCACACGACTTCACAGCAAATGATTAAAAAAGGAACATATGCAGGCACATAGGGAAGGCTAAGTACTTGTTCTTAGTAGTTTAGATCAAATCAAGTATTTTGCAATTCTTCACCTTCTATCTTATTGTGGATGAATGAGAATAAAATCAAACTAAATGACATCTTTCTTATTTCAGATGCCATTTACCATCTTTGTACATTGGAATGGAGTATATGAGAACCCACAGCTTCAAACTTGCTGAGCAGGTAAATATACATTAATCCCTGGATTTTTTTAGCATCCATACAAATTGGCATATTTGTTTCCGCTTGAAAGTTGTCCTATGTTTATGCCAAAGATCTTCTCTGCAGTTTTTTATGCAGGCAAAGGTAATATGCCCATTGGATCCACTTGTATACAATGAACTTGGAGTTGTTGCTTACCATATGAACGAGTATGAACTTTAAAACTGTTCACATGTGCACTCCTGCAATTTTTTGCATGTAATAATATTTCCTTGCAATGATGCAACTTATCAAAATAAAATGTTTAGTTTACAAAAGGCATCATCTGAGGTGAGATTTTTAAGTGGTCAAAGGTTTTGCTTTGTAACAGCTTTTAATTATAAATAAAATAAATCAGTTTTCTGAATAGCTGTTAATTCATACTCTGTATTTAAATAAGAATTAGGTTGTTTTTTCAAATCTCACATATGGATTTGTTTTAATTTTCCCTTGACAAGTTTTCCGATTTTGAACACAATTTTTTCCTTTTTGTCTGCTTACATTTTCAGGTATATAAAAGCTGCCCATTGGTTCAAGAAGACATTGGCTCACATCTCATCTAGCATGAGCGAGATGTGGGAACCAACTGTAGTAAATCTTGCTCACACTTTGCGAAAATTGAAGTATGTGAATTTTTTTCTACACTATTCTCTTGCTTTAGTGTGTTAATATATGGTAGATTGAAAATATATCATCACTCTCTAGCTTTCTGTATGAAGAGATAATCTTTTCATTTTCATGTCCGAATTTAGAATTTGCCTTTACAATTTCCAAGTTCTTCTAATCTCACTGGCTCAATGTAATATGATTCTCTCCAGTAGGCATTATTCTAAGCCCAAGTAACTGTTTATTCTAAGCCTTTACTTTTTCCTTTTTTAGGATGTACAGTGAGGCAATTACATACTATGAAAAAGCCATTGCTTTGTCTACAAAAAGTTTAAGTACTTATGCAGGACTTGCGTACACGTACCACCTGCAGGTAAATTGCATGGGCTGGGGTTTGATTTGACATTTTATTGCCATATGAAAACATAACTTTTACGTGGCTGATACTTTACTTCATGCAGGGAGAGTTTACTGCAGCGATTACTTATTACCACAAAGTAAGCACCGAGATGAACTATTCTATGTAATGGTTCATAACTCTGATATTATCTATGGGTCTGTGGGAATAGAGTAGGTGTTTGGGGGAAAGGATTTACAAATAAGCTATTTTATTATAGTCTAAAACTCTAAATGTATATCTTGATTTATATTCGAGATTGCATTAAAAAAATAAAAAAAAAAAGCATTTTGTGAGTCAGGGGGATAAGGCGTTGAGGCATTAAACAGGTCTAGTGCTTAATTGGAACATAGGCTGGGATAAGGCAGTTAGAACATTGGTCAGGGGGTAGGAAGTTTTGTCAATCTATTTTCTAAACTCGGTAAACTATACTTGATGGCAAGTTGGTAACTACTTTTAGCTTCATTTTTTGTTTGATGCAGGCTTTATGGCTCAACCCAGCTGATAAATTCTGCACAGAAATGCTGACATTGGCTCTAGCTGATGAATGTCGACAAGCCCCTGCTCTACCAAAACCATATAATGTTGAGCTGTGAAATTTAGATGGCACACAGGGGGAGGTTAGGGACGGGGGGGGGGGGGGGCACGGGGGGAGGTTGTTTGTAATGTAATTTATTTGTAGCTGTTGATATTAATGATTGTGATAGACTATTGTTTTGCATCCATATATATAGCATGTAAAAATATCAAATGATAGATAAAAGTAAATTTCAGGATACACAAGACTGCAATACTAATGAAAAGTATTATTTTGTTATAGAAAAATAGAAAATACCATTAACTGTCATCGTCCTGTTCGCCTTCACATGCAAAGAGTGTTGATATTCTAAATTTTGAATAACAATCATTTTGTATTATTGCCATCTGACTATTCTTTTAAAGTACAATAATTTGTTAATCCCATCTGATATCCGGAATCACTCTTAATATCAGAAAACTGAAAATGAAATCATATGCAGCCCTCTCCATGACTCCATCTGATTTCCCGTTTCTGTCGATTTATGGCTTTGATGTAATGCAGCCCTTTCCCGCTTTCGCCAATTTCTGGCTTTGATGTAATGCAGCCCTTTCCCGCTTTCGCCAATTTCTGGCTTTGATGTAATGCAGCCCTTTCCCGCTTTCGCCAATTTCCGGCTTTGATGTAATGCAGCCCTTTCCCACTTTTGCCCATTTCCGGCTTTGATGTAATGCAGCCCTTTCCCGCTTTCGCCCATTTCCGGCTTTGATGTAATGCAGCCAATCCACTTTCACCATTTGCTTCCTAGAAAGCCAACCACAACAACAAAATTGCAAGTCTTCAGACACTTGACTTCTTAAGCTCATGAAATAATATATATCAGACATCTTGAACTACTTCTATTAGTTTCAATATCATAATAATAATTCTTCCAAATCATGTCCACAATAAGAAAAATTAAGTAGCTGCATTAGCTTTTCACGCACTCATTTACATGCAAGTTTTCATAAATATACTCCGTATATATCTTCAATCATTTCTTTTAGTTAGTCATTTTTACATCAAATACTAAACTTTGAGCGACATTATATATTTATCTTGATTCTTGAAAAGTATTTATAATATGAAAATAGTATAAATATGTGTTTTATAGTCCGGCCCCATACCTGCCAAATTAAACTCGAACATGAAATGGCTGGATTTGCCTTCATTTAGCCAGAAGAAATCCAGTCAACAAATTGGGAGTTGACCAAACTGGACACAAAACTTTGACCGAACAGTTCAATAGCTGCATGGGAAAACGAAACAGTTTCCTCAAGGAATTGAAGTTGGACCTGCCGGCCTATAACAACATATTGCCATTATAATCACTTACAGAACCAGCTTTGGTCAATCCCGGTTCACGGTCAGGCGGGTCTTCATCCGGGCAGGTTCCTCTCACTCTCTCAGGACTCAGATCAGCACCTGCACATAGCCATGGAAGCCAGGAAGAGCAGACCTGCATAACAAACAAGACAAACTGTCACTGCATAGTTAGAGAACCAAGTCAACGGCTTCCACTTCGCCGTCTCCACGCTGGAGCTCTTCATCCTCTTCCCGCCGACCACCGTGTGCTTCGACAAATCGAAGCTAGCCCCTTTCATTCTCAGCTCCTGCACACACCTCGTCACTCCCCTGCTCTCGCTCCTCGCCCTCTGCACCTGCCCGCACATCTTCCAGAACCGGCGGAGCTTCACGTGCACGAGGAACGCGATGAACAGGGAAGTGGCCGTCAGGGCAGCCGGCGGGATGACCCACCATTTCCGGCAGGGCCCCTGCTCCTGCTGCTCTGGGTATGATGTGAACAGAATGGTGAAGAAAATTCCGGAGAATGTGAAGATCAGAAGGCAGAGCTGGAAGATCTCGCGGCGGAGCGCGTCCAGGCGCGCTTCTTTCGCGGCGATCTTGCGGCCGAAGAGGTCCTCTTCTCTCTGCAGAAGCTTCAGCAGTAAGAGGTGCCCCGGGCTTCGCGAGATCTCCATTAATGGGTGGTGATGAATTGCAGAGGCGCTCTGTTTCTTTTCATCCTCTGTTTCTACTGGGATTTCAACGACGTGTGTATCTTTATTCATTTCTGCCATCGCCTGATCAGATGTGATCCTGATTATTAAAAATACTGAAAACAGGGAGAAGTAATTAAATCCGAATGTATGTAATTGGAAACTTGATCTCAAATTCAAAATGGTAAGCGCTAGAAATCAGAGAAGTTGAAGATATAGTGAATCTAAGAACGAAATTTGCTTTTGTTGTTGCAGATAGAGAGCAAGCTCCTCCGATTATTTAACACTGGGACTTTTTCCTAACGGTCATATTCCGGGAGCTCAACGGTCTTTCATATTGAAGATGCTTTCCAACGGCTATAATTTGACAATTTTGTCTTACGCTTACATGTTCCAAGTCCCAACGGGAGAAATCATGTGATATAACATGATGAGGTTACTTGCGCATTATGTCATTGTTCTTGGAAATAAATATAAAATGTTTTACAATTGAAATATAGGAATAATGTGTTTTTATTCCTTAAATATGTGTAGTTATTGTGAACTTTCGAAAATATTATCATATTCATAGGTACTAATGTTGTGTATGATAATTGTATAAATCTAATTGGTGCAATAATTTACCTCGGAAATATCCCTTCAACTAAATCATTGTGCAAATTTATCAGGATGTTTTTACTTGGACTGTAATTTGCTGGTCTGGTCTGATTTGGTCTGGTTTCTATGTATTTATAACTATCCAAGTCTGGTCTGGTCTGGTCTGGTTTCTTTGTATTTTTATAACTATGTAAGTCTGGTCTGGTATGGTATGATCTGATCTGGGACGAATTACAGTTCAAGTAAAAACATCCTCAGTATCATTCGATCAGGGCATAACTTTGCCCGAAAATTGTAGTTGTACACTTTTGTGTACATATTATACATACGTATGTGAACATGCTATTCTTTTGTTTGTGAATAGTCTGTTCATAGACAAAACATGTTTATTGAAAAAAAATATATGTACAAATAGTTTTTTTCAACTTACCTTACTTAAATTAAATATAGCCGGAACGTTCTGTCATATTAAGCACATGTTTAGATGAGCTTTGAAAAGTTTGACATTAGACACAGTTTCATCCAATGTTGTGGTTTACTTCTCCTTCATACTGTCGAGTTAGACTGGTGGCTAGGGGTGGGCATAATGGTTTGGTTTAACCGAACCGAACCGTACCAAACCGAACTAAACCGAACCGAAACCGAACCGTATGCAATTTGGTTTGAGTTTGGTACTATTTCTTCCAAACCGTATTAAACCGAACCAAACCGAAACCGATAAAAACCGAACAAAACCGAACCGAACTAAAGAAACTTAAAAAACCTTCATATATTATTAAAATTGGTGGTTTGATTTTGTTTGGTTTGGGTTTACTTAAGTAAAACATTTAGTAAACATTTGCTCAAACCGAATGGTTTGGAACTTTGGTTTGGTTTGGTTTGGTTTGGTTTGGTTTAAAACGGAAAAACCGTAAACCGAACACCGAACAACATACACACACACACTTTGTATTTATCTTCACTCTTCATTTTTAAGATATAAATAAATAATTTAGACATGAAAATAAATATTTAAGCATATACTCGTATTATTTTAACTTTTACACATTTCATTAATTCATTATTACAAAGTTAGCTAATACTACATATTTGTACTCCCTCCGTGGGTTTGACACAAGTTTCAAGAGGAAAATAATAGGAGTAGTGTAAAAGGTGTAGTGTGTTGTGTTTAAATGAAAAAGTAGGAAAGAGAATGAAAAAATAGGAAAGAGAATGGGGGTAAATGAGTATATTTATTGAAAAAACTTTCCAAAAATGGAAACAGAGACAAATATTAGAAAACAACCAAAAATGGAAAGAGGAACACGTATTAGAGAACGGAGGGAGTATTTATTATGTTTAACGATAACAATAGCAAATTGCATTTATATTTTTACATGATTCATTTGAACAAAATTATGACTATTGCAACATTTGTACCACCAACTCTTTTAGTTTTTTTTTTTTTAATATTTTATGTGATATTATAAATGCTAATCAACTATCTTATTTTTTGTAAGAAGCTAAGTGAATTTTTTGTAGTGATAAAAAAGATATTAGAAGTTTTAATTTATAATATTTTATTATTTATTTTTCTATCTTTTATTTCCTTTTACATTTTATTTAAATAATCAATAAAATAAAAAAGATGAGATGGACTACTACTTTCAATTTCATATTCTAAAATATAGAACTTGATAAAATAAAATAATAATCATAAGCAAACAAATCAAATCAAACTAAATTCAACATAATATTTTTTACTTTGGTAAACCGAACTTCAAACCGAACCGAAACCGAACCGAAACCAAACCGAAAATCAAATGGTTTTAGTTTGGTACGAATTCTCTCAACCCGAATAAACCGAAACCGAACCGAAACCGAAGAAAACCGAACCGTAAACTGAATTGGCCACCCCTACTGGTGGCGAACCCGGAATGGGTCATTCTACCGTTTGAGTTGATGAAATGGATATAAAGATTTTGCTATGCTATTCATTCATTTGAAAAGACGTGTTTCCAAACTCTAGCATTATCCTAGGGAGTATCTTTTTAATCACGCAATGAAATGTGACACGCAATAATATTATTTGTAAATGTCGAACTTTCATGTACACAGTATATCTCGATTATGTCTGTATATAGTTTCTTATTTAATGTGACACAATTAATTCAAAGATAATGCTAATTGAAAACATGCACTATGAGAGCCCTTTAATTAATTATTTGTGAAATGGGCATTGCTTAACGCTGGAATCAGAGATCTTTGTGCCTTTGAGAAGCCCACCAAAAAGCTCTGCTGGGTCATAGTATATCTCCACTTCCTCAGCCCTCAAAGAGTCATCCACCTGCAAGGATCATAACCACACATGCATGGAAACATTAAAGACAGAAATGAGTTTGATATAAAGAAGTTGATTTCAAGTTCTTTTAATTTTAGTGAATGAAATCAGTTTTAAAACTACATGATTTATTGGTTCTTAAATTATGAGAATGAGAACTATCAAAGAGAATGGGAACTATTAGATCACCGGAAATAGAGTAATATATCTCCATTCTCCTACAAAGATTTTCTCATATTTTCTGTTCACTAAAATTGTTCGATCTCAAATTTAGTAATGTTTGTGTATTCTAAATAGCTCTCATCTTGTTTTTACTTCTATCAATTGAATCCAATCACATAAGTTCATTTTTCTTAATAATCGGATCATGAAACGAAGATAGTATGAACGAACCTTCATGATTCCCATCCCATAAAACTCAACTAACTCTCCTGTAGGAGAATGGCCTTTGAAGGGTCCTTCAAAATAACCCCAATGCCTAAACTTGAAAGCAATCACAGGTGGACCTGAATATACTTTGATGACCTCCCACGCAAATCCACGGGGAAAAGCCGACCGGAAGGCATCGTGAGACGACTCAAAGCTCTCCTCATCAGCCTTGTAAAACTTCAGCTCTTCCGGCAGCGAACTCTTCAACAATGCGTTGTAACTCCCCAGCTTTAAGGTTTCTTCACCTGACAGTCCATCTCTCCCTGATCATCAATATTCAATACCATATTCAGTTAGTGATAGATACAAGATTTTTGTACCTGATCCAAATCACATTAAAGAAGCATATTTCACATCAGTTAAATCATGAATAAATAACTAATCAGATCATTTTTATAATTCAAATATGATTGAATTTAAAATATATTAGAAATAATGCTTATGTGGTAAATGATGGAGTCCAAGTCAACATCATCTTGATCCCCATTTATATCTAACGTAACCCTAAAGAAAAGCTTCCTTCTTCCTATCTCTTCCATCTACTGATCTATGAGGTGAAAAGAGGAGCTGCTTCGTGTTCTAGAGGAAGACATCCACATTTCTCTCCTCCCCATCACCTATTGGCCGAGCTACTATAAGTGTGCTAAGATATTACTCCCAATTTTTGTTGTTGGAGACTTTTATTTATTTTTAAAATAAAAAGTGCATTGTGTTTTTAAATTGGACTGTGGAAATGGCTAGAGGGTCTTGACTATGGGTGCGGCGATGTGTGTCATGGCTTCACTGAAGTGAGAATTAAAGTGGAAAGTGGTTTGTATGCGTATAATGTTTAGCAAGTGGAACATGTGGATTTGATTTTACCATATTTAATTAAGTGTGGTATATTAATGTCTAAACTCAAATTTGTACTCAATTAACATTATTTTTCCAAGTATGAATATAACCAACCGTCCAGCCACCAAATTACTCCAATGCATCCAATTTAATGTACTTATTTGAGACTTTTTTTTTATAGATTTTATGTATCTGCTAATGTTTTATGAATATTACATGATTAAATAAGAAAGACAAAAATATGACTTATTTTGAATTTTCCAAAAAGTAACTAATCGTGTTCTTTATGATAATGTAGAAATAATTACATAAATATGACCAAAATAAAGATGATTTACAAAAATATGACTAGTTACTAGAGTAGTAATGAAATCATAGTAATTCATGTTCAAGTTTTGAACTTAAGTTAACTACAACACTAAGTTGTTGTCTGAATAATCATATTTAAGTAAATAAGTTTTATTTTAGTAATATTCTTGTAAAACTATTTATACTTCGTATTACATTTATTATTTTAGTATTACATTTATTATAATGAGAATATAACCAACCGTCCAGCCACCAAACTACTCCCAACCGTCCGCTGGATGAATAGGTCTTGTATGGATAAAATTCCCCCTTTTAATTGTATTTGGACCAAATAGCAAGTATTTTGCACTAAAAAAACATATAAAGACATTTTTACGGGTGGACTCATTTTTAAAAATTTGATGTTTTAAAAAATTTGATGTTTTGGCTTTGCAATTGAAGTCCAATAATAACAATTTAAATTTTTCATATCTAAAGTCGAACTTATAAAAGCTAGAAACCTCTCTTTTTAGGGTTGTTTAATTTGGATCTACTTCTGCTCTTTCAGAGCGAAAAAACAAATATTAAAGTGTAATTTTAATTGTGGAAATTACCCCCACGAGCCACTTTACTACTTGACATATCATTTATGTCCACGCACAAAATCTTTTTCATATTTAAACTTTTAAGTTTTCACTTTTGTTTTTTATTTCAAAAAGAGTCTAAACCTAACCGGCTAAACCCAATCAAGCGTAACAAATCCAAATCTACCTCTGCATCTCTTCATCTCCTCTAAGCTTCACTTCGCACCATCCTCCACATCTGTCGATCAATTTCCTCAATCGCCTGCTATTTAAGAGTATGAAAGCTTTGATTTCTCAGTTCGTGATCATCTAGAACCACGCCCTTTGCGACAAGAACTTTGATCCCCAAGCCATTGATGACGTCATGAAGTTCTTCGAGCTTGAGGCCTAAAAGGCCTAGGCGGCCATGGAGCTTGACCGGGAGAAACATGTCGAAGAAGCAGAGAGTCACACGCGGGAAGCGGAGGACCATGTCAACTATGTCATGGACAACGCCATGGAGGAGTTCGGGCGAGGAGGAGATGGATCGGATGGATCGGGCGGAGTAGGACAGTCTGGTCGACGTCACCGACAAGGAGAGGGGCGTGGAGAAGACCATGGAGAGACAATCACCGTCTTCGCGAATATGTATATCAAAGATGCCTTCAAGTCTTCAATTGTGCTACCTATTCCATGAGATCCGCCATCAAGGCCGTTTCTTCTCGTTCCAAAAAGGTTCATCCTTCTTAAAGAGCAATCAATTAACTATTTCTGCGATCAGTAGTTATGCTGTGAACAATTATGGGTTATTTGGTGTATCATAAATGAAAATTTACTTGAATTGATGAATCCACGAAGCAGTTCGAAGAAGAAGAAAATTAAGGGGTATTAAGAGTACTCTGCGGAATTCCATATGTCAGCCAGAGCGCTACTATTATGCTTCGAGCTCCTCTCAAGCCTCTGATCTTTGTATCTCCATTCTTCTCCACCATTGATTTGAAGAAGGTGAACATGTCATATTTAAAATTAACCATTGTGTTTGCTAGTATTGTTATAGTGATTTTTTAATCTCTTTGCCTATTTGTGTATGGGAAGTTATTACCCCAAACAGTTTTGAGTAATTGGATCACTAAAGTACAAAACAATGTGCTTGTGCTTTTCATAGTCTGTTTGGTGTGTCAAGCTGAAAGGTAGTTGAAAATGAAAAATCTAATAACTGAGAAGTTGAAAGTTAATAGTTTATTTTTTCGGCAGAATTAGTTGTTTAGAAGCACTGATATGTGTAAAAGGATTTGAAAGATACATCGTAATTTTTATATTAACACAACTAAGATGATTAAAGCTACATAAAAAGTTAGTAGCTTATCAACCGAATGTTCTGCGTCAGTCCCATATTGAAATATTAGGGGAAGATGAGTTTACAAGACCTTCAGTTGATCTAATTAATCAATAGTACTCAATCTTTTAGTGTTGTTTGATCATTGTGCATTATGTCCGTGTCTACTGAAGTCAACCCAGTCCTAAATTCTATTGCTATAATACATCTATGGAAGATGGCTTTTCAAACAAGAGCTTAGTTTACCAAACAGAACATACAACTTATTTGGAGCTTACAAATAAACTGATTTGTTTTTTGGAGCTTACAAATAAACTAATTCACACGAGTATCTACTTATTTGCTAAATTGATTTGTTTGTTTTTAGAACTATGCTTTCGATTAAGTTTTTGAATTATTTTTTAGCTAAACTTATGGTTGACTTAGTTCCATGTTTTCTTCTTATAGAGTTCACAATTCAAAATCCCAGGTCGATCCTCCCTTTTCAAAATGGTATATTCGTACTAGCGTTTCTAACATTGTGATGAAAATATGCATTTTCAATCACTAGAGTTGCCATAGATAAGTATCATTTTATAGTGCTGCAGTAGAGAGATCATCTGCTTGCAATGGAATTCTTTGAAAACCTTAGCAAAACAGTAATATGCGTTTTTTCATAGATCTTATTAGTTATCAATTTCTTCTATTCAAAATCTAGCTTGTGACTATTAATGAAGACTTTGATATGGCAAAATGAAGCATTTGGAAGCACTTTTTTGTCCTACTTGAACCTTGAATGTTGTGAGATGTCCATAGGATGATGATATAAAGCTCAATCCAAAGTCACACAATTGGCTTCTACTAAGCATCTCATTTGACATACCTACTGCATTCCCTTAAGCGTCTATTTGTTGCTAATAGACACTTGTACCAGCCATTTCATTGTTGGCTTCACATACCTACTGAGCATATGTTTACTTATAATGGCATTGAAATAATAGATTCACTATATATTTATTGTAATACTTTTATAGATTTTTGTTTCTTTTTGTTGCATTGTGTGTGTTGCTTTTTGTTGCACCATGTTGCTTTTTGTTGCATCTTGTTGATGTTTGTTATAGAATGTTGCTTTTTATTGATTTTTTTGAACTAAAGCTTTTCTATTTATGTTGTTTATTGTTTATCTATGCTTTGATTTGTATGCAGTACCTTGTATATATATATATATGAACACCTAAATTGATAAGTTTTGAATTATGAATATTAGGAACAACCAGAAACATAGTGAAACAATAAAAAACAAAAACAAAAAAAGTTATCAACAAAAAGAAACACAAGGAAACAATATTCTACTCAACTAACAATAAAACCATAATTATATTTTAAGATATTTATAATTTATTGAATTAAAAAAAATCGCTTTTTCAATTTTAGTTTTTACATGTTCAACAATTCAAGTCTTCAATTCTTTTTTTCCGATTTTTAGTATTATACCCTTTTTATCATTTACATTACTTTTCTGATTTTGTTTTCAAATTTATGAATTATATTTTCTATTTTTATTTTTTTTCTTTTTGTTTCTTTTTGTTGTGTGATGTTGCTTTATGTTTACTACTTTTTATTTTTATTTCTGTTTTTGTTTTTTCATGTTTAGGACTTTATGTATGTTTAAACTTTTAGTTTTATTTTATTTTGTATACACATATATATATGTGTGTGTGTGTGTGTGTGTGTGTGTGTGTGTGTGTGTGTGTGTGCGCCACTATGTGCATAAATGTATGTGTGCACCCACACATATAATAATAATCCTATAGTTAGGAAGAAAAAAACAATAAAAAAATATAAATAAACATTAAATCAAAATTTGGAAATTTTTCAACAAAAGCAACACATTGAAACAACTTGCAACAAAATAACCCTAATACGCCTGTGTAATAATATTGAATTTTTGTAATTAAAAAATATCAATTAAAATATTTATACTATTTCAATTTTTACAATTTTACAAATTTCTACCTTTTATTTATTCTAACTTATCCAAAATTTATTTAAGATAATTTCTTTTTAATAATGTTCTAAATCACTTTTCACAGTTTTTAGTGTTTTTAGGTTTTTTTGAAGTTATTTTAATTTTTAACAATTTATTATTTTTATAAAAATGTATTTACATGCATTTTATGTTTTCCTACTTTTTATTTTTAAAATATTACTTTTTAAACAATTATAATTATTTATATTTTATAAATTTAATTTTATGTTTATA